TCTGTAAAATATCCGCTGTAGTCGTATGTGTATATGTTCAAGAAGACTGATGTTTCAGCAAGTTTTCGTAAGTTTTGGTCGATTGATTGTCTTTGCTTTGTATCAATTTTTGTGAGGAGTTCTTGGAATAGTTGCGTTTCTAATGTGATATTGTTAATCGGATCTAGAGTAAATACCTGGTGATTGTAAGTCTATGTTAGGATTACGAGTTATTGCGCGTTTGCTTTCGGGTGAAAACTTCTTCAATGGTGGCATTAATGTAGGGTATGGGGTAAGAAGGTAAAATTTGTCTTCGTTTGGGTTCAGCTGTATGACCATGTGGCTTTTTTAGATTCACGCGGTAACCCGAAAATGTGTGCGTCGTGACAGTGTATCTACTTTACTTTGTTTTTATAGAATTCAGGTATTCGTTTGTATCATCTTTTATCTTCGAAAACATATAGTGGTGAGACTTTTTTAGTATATGTGCAGTACCAAAGAATGCTTCCTTCATAATCGTTGAAGTTATATTTATTGCCTGATAGTAAATAACCTGCATATCGTATTTTTAAAACTGCTAGAGCCAGTGATTAGAGTATTTGTGTACGTTCAAGTTTACATAGAAGGCGAAGTGTTTCTAATTCAGATAGTGACATTTCTTAAAAAATACGAATCATTGTATAATTCAAATTCATTTCAAGATATATATCGTAAGGTGTAATTCATAAGTGAGATTTCTTGCATTCTGGTACTATATTAATCTTCCAGACTAAGTTTTCCGTCAAGATTTCTTATTTTGTGTAATTATGAATGTGTAATGATGAATATGTGTAATTCATAAGTGAGATTTCTTGTATTCTGGTACTATGTTTATCTTCTGGTATGACAAAGTTTTCCACCAGGATTTCCTGTGATTTTTAAAAAATTACAGGAATATCAATTTTTTCATCTGTGCGATTTTAATATGGGTGTGCTGGGTCATGAATTAATTTTCCTGTTTTCATGTTAAAATTGTTTTCGTTTTCGACTGGGATTTCTGAGTAATGTATTTTGAAAAGTGGTTTGGGATATTTACAAGCTACTTCTGTTTCAGAGTAAACTTGAAAACGTGTTTTAGTGTGTTTTCAATACCATCGATA